GAAGAGACAAAACAATCACAATGACACACCGACCACAGGGAGACAAAACTGTCAAAAAGACCCAAAAACAATCACAGAGACACAACAATCAAAGTGAGACACAAAACAACCACAGAGACTAAAACAACCACAACTACTAGCTCACAATCTTTCCATGGCTTTTGATATGTGGAGCGACGCATTTGCTGATATGACTTAACTGAAAACATCATCACAGTGATAACACCACAGTCCAGCCACCTCAGGTCAAACATGTGAGAAGCCAAGTCCACATACTATAGTTTAGGTCGAATCTTCATTGTTGTGGCTGCAGGCTAATGGTTGTCATGTGAAGATAATTAAAGCTCCATCATTCACAGTCAGAGTAGGCTGCACACACCTCTGTCCAGGCCTCTTCCTGTCTACAGAGGTCCTTAGATTAAATTCAATTGTGATGAAGCTGATGTGTGAACTGAATGAAGTGACAGATGATTTTCAATCATTCATTCATTCACATTGTATTACTGAGTTTTATGTATTTTGGACCTCTTACTCCCTACTCAAATATTGAGGAGAGAAGTTATTGGACACAAACAACCAATCGTAGATAAAAGCAAAAGACCTGCTGGCAAACCACTTTATTCTATACAAAATAAATAGCACATTCAAATATATTTGTTATGTAAACTGCACATACAACCAGTCAAAAATGTTCAGCTACAGTATGAAATGTGTGTTACAGAATACACAGAACATCTGTTTCTGAATGTCATCACCTGCAACAAAAGAATCCAATTCATCGAAGCTGGTTTGGTCTTTGATACAAATTTTGAAGGTGAAGTTACACCACACTTGATTAAAAGCAGAAACATGTAAAGGTCAACAACACTTGAAACAAAGGTGAAAAACAGATAAGCATGATGACAACAGCTTTTAACAACAGCCTACACGTCATCTGCCTCGAGCTGTGCAGTCGATGTTGAACTTGTCAGACAATCCAGTCTTTTAATGGAATAATTCAAGTATCGTCGTATAGGTCGTACTCAGGGACACACCCGCGAGTCCGTATTGACACTTGTCCACTTTCATACTCACACATGTTCAGTCAGTTCGTTTTACTCAGACTGAAAACCAATCCAAAGCAACATCCGCAGCCTCCATTATACACCTTGGACACAGTCTCCTCATCAGGAGTCTCCATTCATGATGGACAGAAACTCCTCCTGGTTTACTGGATGACAGAAAAACAGAGAGAAAAAGTTTAGGCAGAAAATTACTGTGCACATTAATGCTCAGTGAGAACAAATTCCAAGGAAGAGTCGGACATTTTCTTGACAGCCAACCTGCACATAACTGAGAATAAAAGCAGAGTAACTCCATAAATTGTTGAGTTTGCTTCCAGGCGAGAACAAATTCATTCTGTCAATCAAGAAACAATCAATTGCTAATTGTTTCAGCTCTAGTATCGTATCAAAGGAAAAGCAGCACCACTTTGCAGGCTCATATTCTTACTCACCCTCATTTGAGTCAAAGCACAATACACGGAACAATTCCTCTCAAATAAAAATGTAAGATCATATGTATTATGACAATAAATGTAGATTACAATTTTGTACAAAAAGACTATTATTATATGTTTCTAGCAGGAAGAGCTGTGTGCACATTATGGTTCTAATAAGTATAACCGCCACATACCAAGTCATTGGTTTATTGACTTAGTGCTGTGTGTCTGCCCCCCAGTGGCTGTCTGGGGTATGGTTCATCTACGGTTGACAATGGAGACTCACCTTCTCTCTGCAGGCTGCTGAACGGTGAACTGACCCTAAATCTGTGGTGATGTTTGTCTGTATCAGATTTTAGTGGCGAAACACTTTGAAAGCTTAAATCTGGCTGAATAGTAGGCTTGACAACCTGTGCATACAAACTATTCATTTGTTAAAGCCATAACTTAGTCCAGCAGTTATCGGTGTGAGTGTTGTTTTATTATGAGGAGGTGCTGTTGAGGCTGTGGTGTGAGAACTGCTGCTGTTCCATAGAGTGATTGATAATCCACCACCTCAAACAGTACAGAACTCCATCTGCATCATTTGTACCGTCTGCACCATTTAGCCCGATGATGCTGGAATGTTTGAAGCCTTCATCATTTTTACTGGTACACAGGGTCAAAATAAACCGGTTTAAATAGGGATCTATCACATCTTTCTATTACTGGTCCTCAGAATTGAACAGACATGTCATCTGTCCACGTATCTACCTCACTTTATTCAAATTCAATAAATTGTGTTTGAGACTGGCTCCCCATTTATTTAGGTGTTGATTACTTTTAGTGAAAACAGTCGCCGCCACTTACTCTCTCCATCTCCGTCTGTGTCAAACTCATCGATCATGCTGCGCAACTCGTCATCACTGATGTTCTCCCCGAGTTCTCTAGCCACACGCCTCAGGTTCCTTAGACTGATCTTTCCTGATTCGTCATCATCAAATAACTTGAAGGCCTTCATGATCTCCTCCTTTGGGTCTCGCTCCAGGATGCGATCGGTCACTGTGGAAAGAGATGGAGGTGTTGAGGATTTACTGAAGCTCAGAGAGATGTGCTCAAACTGCGCGTCATGATTCATCTCACTCACTTTCTACTCAATCTGTGGAGTTTCAGGTGAGGTGAAAGCAAACTTACCTACTTCATTGAAATCCTCAAAGGTTATTTTTCCGTTTCCCTCTCTGTCATAGTCTTTAAGAATCTTCAGAACGTCCACCTTCTTCACCTCAAAGCCAAGTGCACGCATGGCCACCTGTTGAGAATTTTGAATCGTCATAAACAATATGTGGCAAAACTTAAGCATGAGGACATTTCTTAATCCATGAATGAATAACAATGGATACATTTACACCCCCTTTATTCACGACTCAATGTGTCTTAGCTAAACTGAGCAAGTACAACATCGTGGCTCTCTGACTCACCTGTTTTTTATTGTTTTCAATAAATTCACTCTCTTTGATACAGGCTGTCACCTAAGATGGTTGGACACAAACCATCCAAATACACTGGCAACCTACACATAACATCCAAGGTAAGTGTTAAATAAACCAGCCGATTCTTTGTATGGTCTATTTGTTTGTGCAGAGTTTAACAAACTGACAGCACATGGACAGTCCTAAGGTATAGGCCCTTAATCTAAAGATGTTCTCATATTTAAAGCCACAGTAGTTCATCAGATATCAACCGTCTCAGAAGTGCAGTAAAGATGAAAAACAGTATCACACCTGGACTTGTTCTTGTGGGACGGGTCACTCCCTGATAGGACTGTGTGTAATGTACCGTCCATGAATAACTTTGTTAAGTTTTTTGGTGTGACCCTGGTAGTTACAGGATTTACCCATGTATTAGCCATCACCTCAGCCCTGACTATACAAACTACTGTCTGGAGGGACAAACAGGAGGGTTACACATATCCTAAAACATAAAGACCTGATTCCAGTCTGTTCTATTTATATGATGATGATGATGATGATGATGATGATCCAGAGATGTGAGACTTGAAAAGCATCTTATGCTCTGAATACGTTAAATCATTTGATTGCCCTCTGATGTCTCTCAAAGAACTATCAGTCCTTGGCTGCTCACCTTCAGTTCATGGTAATCAATTTCTTTATCTTTGTCGGTGTCAAACAACTCGAACGCTTCTTTGATTTCATGTCTCTGGTCTTCGGTGAGCTCTCTCCTCTTCCGACGTTTGGCTTTGTCTGCAGCAAGCTCAGTTCTAAAAATATAAATGTCAGTGTTATACTACAGCGCAGTACACATTCTGTTAGACAGTCTGGAATTATGACGAAGATTCAACCATCCTGACCACATCAGACCAGGTCCAGACAAATACCACGAACTGTCATTTGAGTCCCTGTGTCCCCGGGACACAGAGGTAAACATCGATTCTTCTTAAAGATGTTTAACTAAATGAGTTCACTTCAAACCATTAAGTACGCGATGTATAGCAATCAGTGTAAAGAACGCAATACAAAACGACCCATGGTTATAGAGACACAAACTGTAGCAGAAATCCCTGCACAGCCTTTACTTCCTTTAAGAGCTTCATTGAAAGGGAACTACAGAGTTGAAGCGCAGCCATGAGACTCACTTCAGACACAACAGTGGGATGTGGTGAATAGAAGTCAACAACAGCACAGACGGTCAGTTCCTCAGCTCGTGTTACGGAAGAGTTGTCAAACGTGCTAACGCTAGCTAACACAGAGGGGGGAGACTTGCTGGCGCGTTACACTGAGCTGTGGTGGAGCAGTGACGACAGACAGACTGTTTACCTGAGAGACAGACTCATCTTCCGTCAGGCTGAAGATGTTTCTAATGTTCAAATCCAACGGTACCTGCGCGAAACACGACGGAGAGGACAACACAACAAACCCGTTTATCCGCGCGTACACACTGGCCTCCTATTGGTCGGTGGTTGCGAAGCAGCAGCAAAGTGTTGTCTGATTGGTTCAAGTCTTAACCATTCACTTTTCTCTCTCCAAACTTTATTAAGTCAACGACAGTGAACAAAGACAGTAGAAATAGACCATATAGACTGTATTTAAACTTGTAGATCTAGACCATATAGACTGTATTTAAAC